TCGCAGCGGCTCTGGCTGGTGCCAAACTAAGGAGAGTTCAACGGGTAAGGAGGTGGCACTGGCACCCCCCGATGGGCTCTTCTCCACTGGGGAATGGAGAGACCATTACACCTGCAGCTTGGTGCAAATCCAGCGTGAAGCATGGTGAAACACGCTTCAGCTGACCATTAGGTGAACTTTTAAACGTGTGTTTGTAGGGCAAATAAAGCTGAGCAGGAAATGCTTGGTGGAATTTCTGCTCCTCAGAAAATATTAGATAGCAAATGGCTTCAAGTTCTCATGTTGCCAGGATTTCATTACTTCTGCAGAGTCCACCACTGTACTCTCTGCTAGTGGTTTCACTGGAAGTAAGTGGTTAAAACTGTACCATGCTTACAAAAACCAGCGTAGACTCTTGAGGGCTCACGTCACTGGGTGTCCACTTAGGTAAGGGTTGCATAATCATGCATAAACATAATCATGAGCAAACAGCTCTGTGGGTTTTTTCATCATTTGCCCATATATTATTTGCATCACCCAGACTGTCCTGGGTTTAGTAAGGCCCATGTGCGTCTTCTTCCTAAAGCAGAACATATCCCATCTCTGGTTTTGGGCTGTGATTGTGATCGCTGCTCCTAATAATTAGGAAAACTAATCATTAAGGATGTGGTCATAAATGAAACTCTTTCCATTAATTCCAATGTTGATTTCTGTCTTAAGCCAGAAGATGGTTCAGGAGGGTCTAGCCCCAGTGGGGTCTCTAAGAGCGATGCCAATCGAACAAGTAGCGGAGGAGGCGGAGGAGGACTAATGGAAGAAATGAATAAATTACTGGCAAAAAGGTTTGTACTTAGACTTCAAGTAAGCACTAGCATGAGCTCTGCAGCAAACTGTGGAACACGATGCTGTCATTTTTGGTTAGCAATGGGTCACTTTGGTGCTTCTTTGCAATTTGACACGTCCTGCATAGGTGTTAGTCGCCAGCATTGCCTGGCCTTTAATATGAAAGTGTAGGTGTTGCAGCCGTGATACCTGGCAGAGTTCAGCTGCTGTAGCAAATCCTGCAGTGTGGTAACCTTCAAAGATGGTGATAAATATATCCTCGGGGGTTTTGCCATTTTACCAGATCTATTTCAAAGTTACTGTTTTCAGAAAGAGTAAACTGTGAAAGGAGCTTAGACAAATCCTTCTTTATGCAGCACATTCAGAATGTTGGGCCCAACAATATAAACAGAAGTGCAATAAAAGAACAATATCTTGGCAGGTAAATTATTATCGATTCTCGGTGTGTTTCAGACAGTCTAGCCAAGATATTCTCCACTAAAGCAAGTTGTGATGCATCAAGCTACTAGCTGTTAAAAGACGTTCAGTTATTCCAGTTATTTTTGCTTTCTCTTTTCCCCCTGATTCCATCCGTAATGTTCTGTTAGGCTGTAACTCCCAAGTTCCTAGTGTTAAATGTTTTGGGTTTAGTTTTAAAGATGTTTTAACTTATGAATAGTGAAAGAAAAGGATGAGTAAAATAATGAAGAGTAGGTACAAGGGTATAGTGTGCAGAGATGGAGTTTTTAAGTAATGTTGTCTAGGATGAAAACAGTTCCCAGTTCAGAGGGTCTGATTCCAACTTTTCTCCATATTCTGGTCTTTTCAGAAGGAATTCTGAACATGGACTATGGATGTAATGCTTTGGAAAGCATTATATCAATACACAACACTACAAAAATTTAGCCATGTAAAATACCAAATAGATAATTTTCTCTTTTCAGAATTAAAATATTTTAATAGCTTTAAATAATAAATTACTCGTTCACCTTCTGATCTATTTTGTGTTGCTACATACCAAGACTGACCTTATTGAACTGGAAGATGTCTGTAAGCAAAGTAAGGTTCAGTGACTAGATGCTGGGGTAACTAGCTCTGTTCAAGCAAGCAAGCTAAATGGACATCTCATCTGCTTGGATATAGAAATCCTACAAATTTCTGTGGTTCTAGTCTAAAAGGTACTCCAGTATGGCTTTTGGTTGTGGGATCTGCTGTCTTCAGTTATTCAGGGTCGAATCCTCTTGCTATCTTAACAAAAGCGCCTGTACTGCCGTGAGCACCGTGCTGCCTCTACTCTGAAAATAACTGAGCTGCAAATCCTGTCCCAGGGAGTTGACAGCAACAGAATTGTCTCCTAAATTTTGCTTCACAAAGCCATGCAAGTCATTGGAAATACGTACGTGTCAGTCAAGGGTGCGATCTGGGCACATGCTGTTAAACTGATGCTGAGAGAACTTTTTTTGGCTGCAGAACCCTTTTTATGTGTGATGACAGAGGGAAAGGAAAGAACCCGGCACTGTGTTTCAGGTTGCCCTTACTGAGCTGGCAGCCAGGATGTAAAAAAGATGGTTTTTAAACTGAACATGTTCAATACAGAAATCACTGATGGATGAGCATGGGATCTCGGGGGCCATTTTCTGAGCAGAAAACCCCATGCTCAGGATCAGGGAATGTGTCTAATGCTGTGTAAATAACAGAAGAAAATGCTTCTGAGAGCTCAGGTGGTATAAAATATAGCTCTCTAGATTTAGTGGCCCCCTTGAGAGCAGCCCTTTGCTTTACGATTGAGGTGCAAGCAGAATAATGAACTATCTCACAAACTACTATCATTTCTAGGCCAGTTAAGTTTGTTGCAGGACATAAATCTAACACTGGTCTCTCACCCTGTTAAATATTTCCCTTGCTCAGGTTTGTAATCATTATGAACTTTTTTGCTCAGAAGAATCAAGTAAATCTTAATGAAAGACTATACAAATTATTACTGAGCTAATAAAATTATTAATGCAGTTGAATATCTGGAAATAATTCCCAGAGAGCACTGTGTCCTAGAAACACATGCATGTGTTTTACTCCTCTGTTTTTTTGTCAAATTTACATCAAATTGTCCAATTTATGTATCCAGTGAGGCTTTTCTTTTGCCAGTGAAATGACAAAAAAATCCTTTGACAAACTTGTGGCAGTGTTTTGAAACTCAGAAGCCTTTCTAAGTGCCACTGGTGATTTTTTTTTCCTGTGAGATTAATTTTGTCCGCTTCAGAAGCAAGACTAAATGAAAAACCCGTAATATTAGTGTTTTAAAAAACAAAAAACATCTGCTAAGGGTAGTGTTCACAGGTAGATAAGGATAAGTCTCCACCAAAATCCATGTGAAGACTAGAGCTGCAGTTCCCCTAATTATCTAAAATGGGAAATTGGAGAATTTCCAATTTCTAGAAATTGGAATCTAGAATTGGTGTCTAGAGAATCAGTATCTGGCACACTTGAGTACTGTTTAGACCCTAAATAGGGCTTGAAAATCGAGAATTTTGTTTTCTTCAGCCAGTGTGGCTAAGACCCAAGAAGTTTTATCATGTGTTCTTCAAATACAAACGACCAACATATGTGTTTACTCTCATGTCCAGTTCCTCCAGTGGATGGATTGCAGCTCTTTGCCACCTGTTTCTCAGAGAGCTTTGCCTCTCCTCAGGAAGCAGGACAGAGTGAGGGCCTCAGGTCCGCACTCAACTTCTGTAGGCACCACCAACACTGCCAGTCCTGGGACTACAGGGCTCAGGAGCTCTGCTGCCTTTGAATTGTGTTTGAGACAGCAGTAATCTCCCATCTCACTTGAAAACCCAGGCTGGTATGCTCGTTTCCTGACTCCGGGTCTCCAGCCAGAGCTTTGCCACCCTGGAGGGAGCAGGGGTCTTGGCTGAGCAGAAATGGTGCCTGATCTTTTCTGGTGAGGATGGGCTGGGGTTGAAGGGCTTTTCTGACTGTCCTCCCATCACATGGGAGCACTGCCACAACTCTTTCTCTGGGTGGGAACAGGGATGGGAGGATATAGGACAGGTGGCAAAATGACATTGGAGCGGGCTAAGAGTGTCATCGCTGCAATACCCACCTGAGCCACCTGGGGTTTGGGTTGGTCCTCAGAAACCACGGGGGGGTGTTAGGTTGCTCCTCCTGTGTAGGACACCCCTTCCTGAGCCCTAGAGGGAAGCCATCCCTTTCTCACCCAGTTTCATACCCAGCTGCACTTCCTTCCTCCACTTTGACACATTTTCTTATGTGCACCCTGCGTTCCTCTGTTAAACACGTAATATTGCCCCTCTCGCTGAGTCATATCGCCGAGGTCTGGATTCCTCACCTCCACCCCAATCCTATGCAACCGAACACATCCAGCCTCTGTCACATTCTGTAGGATGAACCAAGTAAATAATAACTCCCACCCGAGCCTGAATCAGCCTTTCCACATGATGTGTTCCTAGCGGGTTGACTGTGTGTCCTGTCTCATGTTCCTTTGCAAAGGAGGAAAGCGGCGTCGCAGTCAGACAAGCCAGCTGACAGAAAGGAAGAGGAAAGCCAAAACGTAAGTGAAAGACTCCTCACTGTTCTGCTCTTACAAATATGTTGATGTGCTGCCTTGTAAGCCAAAGTCCTGTGTTCATTCACTGTGTGTGGCAGGCAATGACAAGTAGTGCTGATCCAGGAATAGATTTGCACATTCAATCAAAAGCTAAATGTAACTTTGCTTCTACCTTTCCTGGGAACAGCACCCTATAAACAAGAATTGTCACCTTATTCACAGGTGAGTTATTGTCCAAACCAGGTTAATAGGCACTTTCTCATGGTCTGATCTGAGTGTTGTAGCATACGATAGATTCTTGCCCCTTAAGAAGATGCACTGAACCTTCTGGCAAGTCAACTCGATCTCAAATTCATGTTAAATTTGCAGCTTCAGCTAATCCAAAGTGGATCATCAACCACGTGGTGTAATTTTGGATTGCCAACCTCGATGCAAAGCAAGAATCAGCTCACTTCAGACCCCAGAGTGCGCATAAAACACATCTCTGGGGGTGTGAAGGGGAAACGGTGTATTAACCATTAGACCATTCAAAAGTTAAGAAAGATATGTATTCATGATGCTTACACTAAAATGAGGTAGAATTTGGACAACTTCGGGGAACTTTGATTCATTTCCATTTTAACTGTTCTCTCTGTATGTTGTCCACAAAAGTGATTAAACAAGAGTTTTGATTTGACTCAGTCTTTACACTGAACTTGATGCAGCAATTTGGAGTTCAGCATGCAGATTAAAACACTTTTTTACCTGCTGAACTGGTAAAGCATGGGAAATCTTTCCAGTTTCAAGAGAGGCCGGGATTTACACTGTGTCCCTTCCCATGTGGTGCTTTTCTGAGCGGCTGCTCATACAGCATTCCTGTTGCTAGCCAGTGCCCTCATGAAGGCTCTCTGCCATAGCTGCAAGTTCGTAAAGCATCGTGTGTGCCTCGTATCACCTATACAGAGATACTCCCTCCAAAGACAAAGTAACAGCTGCCCAGTAGAAAATCCATTTTCATGTAGCTCTCACCCCAGTCTGAAAGGTTTGTAGCAAGAGCAGGAAAAAGCACCTTGCATTGTTTAAGAAGAAAAGCAGCTGTTTTTTTGCATGTTCCTCAAGGGATGCTTCAAGCATGGAATTTGCCTGTTGAACCCACTATGCAACCGTTGCTTTTAATCTTGCCCCAAAGCTGGTTTTGAACCATACACTCAGAGATGAAAGGCACCATTTAGCTTCTAACTATTCAGCCTCTGCTGTCTTCCTGCCCCTTCTTCTCTCTCCTTGAAGCTCTGTGTTGATATATATCCCCAATCAAACTTTCGATACCACCAAACTAGAAAGGTGTTTTAGAGAACATCTGTTTAATGTGTATCTGGAGTACACTTTGTGGTGGGGGTATCTTCTGGGTGCAATTCCATTTTATAATGCACAATTAATGCTTTGCCTGAGCATTTTTTGAGGGCTGCTAAATAATACTGACATATCAAATATATGGGTTAATGTTTTATGATCTAGAACACATAAATCCCAGAAAAAAAGAGTCCAAAGCTGTGATGTAGTGTTTAATCTTTTACTTAGGAGGAGTATTCATTGATTGAGTTACATTCTGTTAGTACCTGCACTACCCTCACTGATACCCGTGGCTGTCCTGGGCTAAAAGGCTGGGTTCTGACCTACGGTTCCTTCAAGTGGCTCAGCTTTCCTATCACGGAGAGTTTCTAAATTTGGGAAATGGATGGTTTGTATTTAGACAGCAGCAGACTGCACTTTCCAGTGGTAATTCAGCCTGGTTTGGCATACAGGGATGAGAGTGAGTCAGTGGAACCATTAAAAAGTGTCCATGTTAGCAAGAAATTAAAAAGTAGGTATTTTCCCATGCTAAAGGGAGAGGAAGGTTAAAATTTAAATGGACTTCAGCCTGTACCTTGGCAGCAGTGCCTGTTGGACATGCTTGGAGGAAGCTTGCTTTTGTATCACCTGTGCTGCAGCTGGTCTCCAGAGTAGAAGAGGACTCTGCACTTCATCTCCAGAATTCAGTAATGTCCTATTTTTCTCTTCCTAGGATGATGCTAGCACCTCTCCTTCACCCAGTACACGAGGTCCCGCCCAGCAGCAGCAAAATTCATCAGGTATTAAATAAAACTATTAGTGTTGCAGTTGCCTTCTTAATCTAGTCTTCTCCGCCACCTCTAGATTCTGGGTTCATTGTCCTACTTCTGAGTGCAGCAGCAGTAACTAGCAGAAAAATTCCCAAATACCTATTGTTTTAAAGACTGTACTCAGCAAGAAATGGTGATTTTATATGCTTCACGGTCAAGAAAAAATGACCGCCAATATAGTTAAAGAGCTCCAGACATGCAGCTGAGGATCTCTGTCTTCAACATTGTGCACCTGAATATTCTAAGAGAAAAAAGCTACATTATTTTACTTTTGGTAGTGTAGCTGTCCTGGTTTATACAGTTGGGGTTTGGGTCTCAGACTGTTATCCTTCCTTAACCTAGGGGCTTGTTGCAGTAAGCCTGACCCTGAGAGTTACTAGGTGAAATTAAGGAGCCTCCAAAATATGTTTTTCCTATGATGAGCTGCAGTAAGTGTACCTGAGTAGGTAAGCTGCAAGCCTGTCAGATTCATCCTTGCATCAGCCTTGGCATTCATATATGCTAAAACAAATCTCTCCCAAGGGAATGACTATTTAACCATTCCAGCTTCCTTTTGGAACAAAGCCATGATTTGCGTGTTTTGCAAGGGAAGAGGAAGAAGCCAGGAGAATGGTGCATGTAAATGAGGAGCGAGATCTAGAGATTTCCTGGGAGTGCCCGTAATTCTTTTAAAGAGCTTTTTAGGACTTCACAAAAGAGCAAACCCTTATGTATAACGTTGTGTGTTACTCAAGTCTCTGAAACAGTTCGCTTTATTTTAGACTATTTGCATAGGAGGAGATTGGGATGATAAGTGTTTTCAGTAACATGGTTTTTGTAGTGCAGCTTTTGTTGAGTTAGAAATGTAGACAACATTAAATAACTTCTCTGTGGAGGTTTGCATAGTGGGGGTCTCACTGCCTTTTTTTAGATACACCCACATGTTAACTTGAAATATTTATAAATAAGTATTGTATTGAATGAAATAAGCCTTGCAGCAATTAGCCTATTTCTTAATAGAAGTGATTTGTGCTTTTCCTCCCACTGTTCCAGTTCTATGTCTTTTTAGTATTGTTTAACTATCCGGTCCCTAATTAAAGGGATCCCTAAACAGATTTTTGCCAATGCTTTCTGTCTAATGTACGCAACCACACTCATTCAGCACTCCTGCTTTGATGGATCTTTCTAAGTCATTCATCCTCACTGAATTAAAGCAGCAGTACAAGACAATCAACTTCAAGATTTTTTTATCATTAGAGAAAAAATAATAAACTGTAACTTTTCATTTTTGTTTTCCAGACTCTGGGAAGAAGCCATGGGAAAGGAGCAATTCTGTTGAAAAGCCTGTATCTTCATTACTTTCTAGGTGAGCTGTGTGGGGTGTCCCTGTGGCTGGCTAGCAGTCGGGCTGGTCATGCTGTCCCCGTGGCACGTGCACAACTCATGTCTTGTTTCATTCCATTGCTGTAGAAATCCATCAGTGGTGAAGAGCTGTGAAGCTAAGAGCCCCACACAATCCCACGTGTCTTCTAGGTACTGGCTAACAGCCCAGCTTCTTAACTGTCATGGCTTGTCCTTTGGCTAATCCCATCATTCAGCACTAAAGTTCGTCTTCTGTCACGTCGTTTACTCATTCTGTGACAATGTGCTATGTCTGTCGCTGCACTAAGTGTGAAGGTGGAGTGTGTCCTGTCAAGGCTTGTTCCACGGAAACAGCCCCCTGCTCAGGTGGCTGCAGGCATCACAGGCATTAATCGCACTTAACCAAGCGCTGAAAGCATCCGTGCTCGTGAATCGGAGGCACGGGCTTGGCAGCGCACAGTGCCACGTGGAAGGCAGGTTTTGGAGCAGCTTTTTACAGCAGGTTCAAGATGACCTTGCCAATAGGATAAGTTTTCATTGTCCAACCTCTGCAGAAATTCAAAAGCAAAGGCAGAAATGATCTGAAGAGCCTGCAACTGGGAGAAGGGAAGTTATTCCTCCATCCATGCAACTGCCGTGGGTGCATGAGAAAGGAGGGCAAAGCTTGGTGCAGTAAGTTAACAACATCAAGCTGTAAGAAGGCTCAGGCACAGACAGGGCATTCAGAAATATGGGGTACAAAAGGTGGCAGGTGTCAAAAGCTGAGAAGCCTAAAGTAGGACTCCAGAAGTCCTGTCAGTCAGAACAGCCCAGCTGCAGTATCGCCCATGTTCTTACCCATGGAGACTGTTTGATGTGGGACGGGTAAAGAGAGACTTCCTTCCAGTGCTGGTCCGGGACTACCCAGTGGTACTGCAGAACTGAACACTGAGATGGATGGAGAAGCTGAATAAGGAGGTAGAACACAGACTTACATGTGTTTAGTGTTTACTGCAAAGAGATGTCCTTTATTTAAACTGTCACTTGTACAACAGTGCAGATAGTCTGCAGAGAGAAAGTTGCCAATGGCAACTATCTGCACGTACTTGCTGCTGTGTTAAAGATGCTGGAACATGCCTACCCAAACATTCAGAGGGGTGCCCCATGTTCCTAGAGCAAAATATAGTCTCTCCAGCTCTCCTAAAACCAATGGGACACACTGGTTCTAGGACGTGTATGAGAGTTTCCAACTCTCATATACATATGAGAGTAGACATCTATATGAGATGTAGAAAGACCATTCCTCCTTGCAAATGGGAATGAAATGTGGGCTATTTAAAGCAGCCATCCAGTTTTTGCCATCTATCTTCTACGATGCCATTCCATCTTGGGAGGAGGAGGCGTTCAGTGGAAAAAAATCCCTTCCTAGTTTAACACCTAGAGTACTGCTCAGTCTTACTTGCTCGAATTACTTTTGTGGGGGAAGTGGGGCAGGTTTAAAAAGCTCAGCAGTGACGTGTTTCCATTCCTGTTCCATCTGATGGTATTTATATGTGTCTTACCTCCCAGCTTAGCTGTGAGATGGTAGGAGACATGTTAATATTTTTCCCAAGAAAAAGTTGCAAGACCAAGTAGACCCTCAGGAGCAGCAGAACCTCTGCCAGCCCCCAGTTTGGGCCCAAAGATGACAGCAAAGTTATTTGAAGCCTTTTCTATAAATTATATAGCATGGTTAATTTTTGAAATGTTTTAGAATTACTGATTAAAAGAGAAAGTCAAGCAGCTTCTGCCTCCTTAATTTATTTTATCAGCCGTCATTAGAGTTCAGCCCACTGACTAATACTGGAAGACCAATAACACTCAAGTGTGCTAGTCTTTAAGGGCAGATTGGTTTGATTTCTGGGTCAAGAAAAAGTGCCTGTGCTATCAAACAAGCTCCACCTGAGTCAGGCCTTCCAAGGAAAGGATTACTGGGTTATTAGTTTTCCTGTAATCTTTTTCCAACCTGTATTCTACTATTACTTTAGCACCCAGTTAAAGCCTAGGTGGCAAAGACAGGGTTGCTGTACAGAAAAGAGACTGTGAAAGAAAGAAAACCAGACATTCAGCTTACAGATTGCAAATGCAGTAATAAAATACATTGTTAAACAGGCTTTATCCCCTGAAGACATCCCAGCATCTTCTAGTCTGAAATCATGGAGACTCCCAACACAAAAAAACAAAAACAAAAACAAAAAACCCCACAATACGTTTCAGTGCAGTCTTTGCACTCCCTCCAGTATGTCTGCAATAGGAGAAGGCAGCATCTTTGAGGGTCAGGCAGTGAAAACGGGAGCCGTGCTGCTCTCTGGCTGCTGAACTCTCCTGAGCAGCACAAGAGGGAGCCTCTGGTCCAGCGCTGGAACACGGGTGCTCCTGCTCTGGGGTGGATTTCATCCACACCATCAGGTGGGTGTAGCTTGGCGTGCATTGCAAGGAACTGACTGGCTTTTTTTGTCCTTCCATTTTCTCAAGGATGAAGCCAGTGAGCAGCAGCAATGATGTGGCTATGGATGCCTTAGATTTTGATCGAATGAAACAGGTAAGTGAAAAGGTCTGCTGCACTTACGAGATCTGACGAGCTACCCATTTTCCCCCATGCATGCGCTGTACAAGCAAAACAGCTGTTCAGTCCTCTGATTTCCACTATAACTAGGTGCTTAGAGAAGGGCTAGCTGGTGAGCAGCAAGAGAGCACAATCTCACTGCTATTTGATCAAGATGTCTGTACAGAAACGTGCCAATAAATATGCCAGCATCTTCTGCATCCTTGGCCTGGGAGTGCAGACGTAGCTGTTAGCAGTGCTAGGCTCTGACGGTCAGCGGAGGCGGGGGACGCAGCACAACCGTGTTAAACTTGCATTTTCTTCCACCGGTTAGAAGGAAATTCTGAGCAGCTGACTTGTGTTTTGTCTCATCAGGAAATATTGGAGGAAGTTGTAAGAGAGTTACACAAAGTGAAAGAGGAGATAATTGATGGTAAGAAAGAGAAAAATTATTATTTTTCTCATCTTTATGACTAATTTCCCGTAGATAAGATGATAGGAACTACAGAGAGTTCCCTGGTGTTTTCAGACTTCTCTGAGCAGCTCTGAGTTACATACACATTTGAAGAACAAGCATCTTACCTTATCTGAGCTCTGATCGTGACATTGTGTTTACATCCTTTATTTTTATGCTGTTGACGAGCACTTTTCACTCCCAACCTGTGAGAAATTCACTGGCTGGTGTTTCTCACAGGTGGGAGGGTGAGAAAGGGCCTGCCCGTCGCCCGTGGCATGTCAATTTATCACAATCGGGGAGCGTGAATTTGCTTGTAACTAGCTGTCCACACAGGTCTGAGAGGTGGAGGGGACAAAGGTACCGACCTGAACATCCTTCCCAAGCATCTTCTGTAGGCTTCCTATGCTTAAAGAGCTATTTCAGACCTTCACTCGATTACAGCTTTCCCAATAGCGACATATTTTTATAATTCATTGAAAAGTACAACAGCTGTACTAAATGTATCAGTACTTTTTTATAAATTGCTCTGCAATATATGCCTAAATGTGTTTTTCAGGGCCATTACTGAAATGCACAGCAAAATACTTATTTGGAGCCCGCATTAGGGCATATGAAGATGCATGTCCACACTCTGCACTCCCCATCTTAGAGTCACGCAGCAGGGGAAAAAAAGGAGACTGTAAAACAGCTAAAATCCATTCCCTGTCCCCTTGCCCTAGACCCATGTGCTCACAAAAACTCAGGGCAGTTTGCAGTTGAGGGGACCCTCACCCGTACGCTACCGTCCCAGCAGCTTGGCCCTCAGAGCCTCCCTAGTTCATTCCAGTGCAAAATAAGACATTCACATAAACCACAGATGCAACTTCTTAAACTAGTACTGCAGTTTGCAAGCAAACAGCTGACTGCTTACCCTTACTCATCTTTTTACCCTCCACTCATCCTTTTACTAGCGTGTACTTTCTGCAACCTCTATACTTAGCATTTTCCGTCACACTGGGTATAACATTATGCATTAACTTTTTGGTTTGGTTTTCTAGCCATACGGCAGGAGTTGAGTAGAATCAGTACAACATAATGATTGCAAAGCATTTGGACGGTACTGAGAATGCTTGGAAGATACGATCATTTCTAAGTGTACCAAGGTCATACAAGATGGTGAGAGAGGACACCGGCACTGTCTTTGTTCTTATACCCTTTTTATTAGCAGACTCAGCACACTTTGAAGCTTGCTGCTGCCTTGGATTTGCTTCATTTTAAAAGTCTTAATCTAAAGAATATTAAATTTTAAATTTCTGGATTTTTTAGATTTCATCTGACACTGCACATTGGATTTGTCAGCCTTTTTTGTATTTTGTATTTGCTTATTTAAATGTATTACCTTTCTTTTTAGTAGTAGATAAGAACACACGTGAACCATTTGCTTTTGATAGATGACTTCAAAGTAATTTTACTAGTAGTCTGCAATGTAAATTAAGATCCTTTGCCAACAGAAATGTATTGTGGCATCACCAGAAAAAAGAGAGACATGTTAGTTGTCAGCCAACAAGTTCTTTGTCTCAGAGTTATCACAATATTAAAAAAATGGTACGTCAGTGCATCACAGTATCTGTGTTCATATTGGTAATAAACTGTTTATTGTCCACATGGCCCTGCCTTTCTTTGTTTCATTCATCCCTGGAGCTCCCGCACTTTTATGTCACTTAGGTGGACAACGAGGAGAAGGTGACCGAGACTCACTGTGGGCTGGCAGCTCTGTCCCAGCCAGTGCTGCAGAGCATGAGGAGAGAGCCTGAGCGTCTTCTGGCTGGTGCAGTGGCAACAGCCCTGCCATCCCGAACAAGGAGACGTGGCTCTCCCCTGCCCGGCCCTCCTCGCATCGCCGGCTGAGCACCACCTTCTGCAGTCGGGTGGCAGCAACCTCAGCAACTTTTTGACAAAGTCAGTGAAAGACAGTGGCTGATGGCTCTTCTCAGGCCACCGCTAACTGTCCCGCTGTATCTCCTGCCATCAATGAAGAAAAAACCAGGTCCCATCATCTGCACTCGTAAGAGCTTCCAGTAAATAAAAAGGAGGTATTTATGCAGAACAAGGCTACCCAAGGCATTAAGACTATGCAAGCTGAAATCACTGGCACGGCACTGCTGAACTAGACGCTTAAGAGGAGTCATTTGTTACTATCATCTCACATATTCCATTTGTTTACGTTGTGCAGGTCTTAAGGTTTATTTCACAGAAAGTGAAGTCAAAGATACGAGTACAGGATGACAAACACTCAACAGCACACACCCAGTCCTATCTTTCAGGTCACACAATTTTTTTCTTTAAAACCATTCTTTCCACCAGCACAGTCTTGGGAGTTTCTGCTTGACTTCGTTTGGTGCAAGCTTTACATGGCAGTAGTCTTGATACCATCTTCTTGATAACTTTGTGCAAAAGGCAAGAGATCGGAGTTCAGATATTGAATTCTGTCAAATATTTTCCAAGCCCCCCTGCTTTGCTTCAGGCCTTCCTGAAGGTTTTGTTTTAAAAGCCAGGTCCCAGGAATGGTTTTGGGAGCAGAGCCTGGTGCAGCAGCCCAGGAGAGGCTGTGAGTGTCCCCTTGCTCATGTCCCCCAGACCTCATGGAGCATGGCAGCAGGCAGGAGGGACTGCCTGCCAGCAACAGGAGACCCAGGAGAGGAGACGGGGTGGGGCATGCTTTGCAGTTAGTTGTAAAATTTTATCTACTTTGGCTTGGAGAACGTGGAGTTGTCCTTCAGCACTCTTCAAAGCAACCCCGTCTGCCTTTTGGAAAACAGTCTTTTTTTCAGTGTGGTTATACTGTAGATTAAATATAGGAAAAATAGGAGAAATCTGAGTTTAATGCAACAGCGAAGTCCAGACTGAGCCTGATTTCTGTTAGCTGTTCAATGCCGGAAGGCAGCAAGGGACAGGTTAGAGAGTGGGGTAAGAGTTCCACATGGGAACTAAAGCAGGCAGACGTAGATGTGCACCATGATATGACAACCCCAAGACCAGGAGAAGGCGCCTTTCCAGTAGGAAGAACACAGACAAGCATCAGTAACAGCAAAGATTATAATGCTCTGTTGCATAAATCTCATACAGTAGCTCATGCATTTCTTAATTATAAACCCATATAATGGCATACCTGACAATGGCAAGTACTTTTCAAAACTGCTGCCTCTCAGATGATCACAACCATTCTGTAAAACTCTCCCATAATCTTAATTAAGCTTCAGGAAGTTGGAGCCTGGCACGATTCACATTTTCCCTTGGAATGTGGCATTATGCCTAAGGTCAGTAATAACCGGGTTGTAATTTGGGCCGAGTGTACAGCCTGGATACGGTGCGCCCTTCTGTTAACATCAGCCACCTGCCGTAAATGAGGTTTTCTTACTTTCTTCTACCTTTGCAGGCCTCGTATAATTAAAATATAATGAGCTGAAGTTTGTACAGAGCAACTTAATAGCTGTGGGGGCAAGGTGCACAGGGGTGGAGGGGAAGCTTGACTGATAGGGGCAAGGGAGCAGCCCTGGCATCACCAGCGCTTGGCTGGTTCCCAGCCTATGGCTCCAGCAACGGGGACGTGCAGAGCAGCTTATTTGCAGTAGTGGCTCTGCTGGAGGATTTCCCCCTCCCAGACACTAATTCAGTTTGCCTGTTGCCTCTCTAGAGAAGGGTGTCCCTTCATGTTGGGCTTGTTGAGGGTACCACTGCAACAGGGCAGGCCAGAGGCATTTTACATCAGCAGGAATCAAAAGGGGCATTAACCTCCACTGTGACCTATCATATAGCTATTCGTCCCTCCTGTCTCCTCTTGCCAGAGCATTAGCATGGCCACACGATGAAGGGGATCTGGGTTAATTTTTAAGCAAAGAGAATAAAACTATACATAACCCTAATGTACTTTTAACCTAGACCCATTTGCCCTGTGGTTCCAAAAAAAAAAAACAAACCCACCTTTCTGCCAACATTACTGGTAGTGGAGTGGGAAGTACAAGCGCCCATGGGGAGGACAGGTACCCCTTCCCCGGCAGCACCCACACACATTGAAACTCAGCCTGCGCCACACTCCTGCAGGCACCAGGCTTCCAGGCACTTCAAATTCCCACTGAGAAGGAGAGCGCAGAGCAGGAGGTCTGTGGGGCTGTCCAGGCAAAGCAAGGTGGGACCATGATGGAAACACTGATGGGAGGCGGGCTAAGAAGCAGTTGCCAGCTTTGGTTACCCTCTGTTTACACCACAGCCTCTGTGTCTTATAGGCTAGGCTATAATCTGTAGATGCCATAGATGACTGCATCATGGAACAGCTGAGTAAGGGAACTACAGAAAGGTCACTGTCCATGGAGGAGAAAGACAAGAGTCACATTGAGGAAGATAGCATAATCTTTATTATGGTTTTTGTATTAACTTGCTAAGATGGCCAAGCTTGCTAAGGACACGGGACGTTGAATACGTGATTGTGGAGTGCCAGCAACACTGAAGTAAATTAATGAAAAAGTGAAGCTCTTGACATAAGCACCAACACAAAGAAGTCAATGGACCTTGCCCCACCAAAGCCTCTTCCTTTAGGAGAAAAGGCACCTCAAAAACACAGTGAAGTCTGAAGTGTCTCTCTTTTCCAGTAGAAGAACTAGACTAAAACAGTATCTGTGAATGAACTGGTATTCAGCCCCTGCATCACAAAAGATCTTGCACTGCTGAGAAAACCTGGGTATTTACCCAGCTGCCAAAATCAGACAGATGAAGAAAATGGAGGAGGAGCCCAAATTTCAGCAGGCTGTCTCGGCTGCCTGGTATGCCAGGCTAGTGAATGGACAGACTGACTCACTGGATCCAGCGCTGTAGGAGGAAGGAATGTAACTGTGTTTATTGAGGAAATCGGGCTTCCCCGGTCTAATAGCATACTCTGAGGGACCAGAAAAGAATTATTCTGCATTCCTCCTTTTTTTACACACATTAATGTCCACAAGAAGACAAGAGAGTCATACTGTGAGAGGGTTTGGGTATAAGAAGACCTTTATAGATCTATTCTCTTTCATCCACTTGGTAAGGAGAGAAATAAGTTGTCAGCTTTCCAGGGTAGAGTGAAGTTATAAGATGGCATCTGAACTCCTGAGCCCCACGATACTCTTCTGCTTGGAGAAAGGTATGGTGATTAAGGTTTTTGATAATACAGAATTATTGAGGATAGCCAGAAGTTGATAGCTGGAGAGAACAGGCAGGAAGATTTAACTATTCCAGTGGGTAGAAGTGGGAGATGAAGGCTAATCTCAATAGCACAAAGAAAGACACATAGGGAAACAACCCCAACTCCATGGTCCCTTAACGCCCATCCCCTTAACACCATCAGTGATGGCTTTTCTATAGTTGGAGTATCATGTGCTTCCCAAATGTCAAGTCAGTGCCCCTTGAATGACAGAGGGAAAAAGTTACAATTATTCTGAAAGCAGTTAGGAACAAGTACCACCATGAAGTCTCCATGCCTTCACTGTCACATACTCCTAACTCCTATTCACAGAAAGGGCTATAATATAGAGAAGACCAAGAAAGATGATGAGGAATATTAACAACCTTGGTAAGCAGCAATTAAATCTAGAACCTTCCCACCCTCAGAAGGTCTTAACGTGTGGGAAAGTATGAGTAACATGAAGTTATGAATACTGTTGAAAAGGTGAGTGAGAAAGGACCACCCCGTTCCTCCAGGGGCCCATTCGTGCTGCTGATCAGACAGCAAGCAGAAGACTAAAGGAAGGGTTTCTCCATGTCACAGTTCAGCTCTGCCGCTTGGCTACACTGACTATCAGATCCTAAGAATAGAAATGGATTCAGAAGAGATTAAGACAAAGCCCTGGAATAAAGGTCAAACAACAGCTACTAAAATAATGATCAAAATGTATAAAAATATATACATATTTCATTGCATATACAAAATCTCTGCTACCAGCCATTATCAGAGGTAAGATATTAGATTAGACAAGACATGGAGCTAAAAGCACCCTAGTGTTCTCCAGAAAGTATCATTTACTAGTGCGTGCCAGTCCTCCCTGCATTCGCAGTCCTGTGCGCATAGAGCATCTACATCTAATCTGGCATGAAGAGAAACCGGTCCTAAACTACACACATGCATGCTCACACACGCACGCACCAAGCATTCTCTGTTGCAGACTAGGCCAAAACTCAGACTTAGGCACATGTGGCCCAGGAAGTTAATTCTAAGCCTAGACCAAAGGTTCACATAATCATAGCTCACTTTAATCTAGTTTTTCAGGGTTACTTACACAAATATCCTTTATTAAAAAGTATCAATAGTCTAAAATAGTGCACCCAATTGCTTCATTTTCACACTCACCCTCTTGGTCTAAGGAGCACACACCAATGCTACTTCAGCACACACAAGCATCCTTCTACAGAAAACTCCAGTCACTCAAACAAACAAAACACCAATGCAGCAGCCGGAGCTAGTCCGTTAGCTTTCCTTTGCCAGCTTGCAGAGTCTCTTAACCCTTGAATAAGGGCCAATAGCATCATCAAAAACAAAGTCCCACAGAACTCGAATCCAGGACTGGTGATGTGGGAGGTTATCGTAATATTCTGCCGCAATCTTCTTCACCTGGAAGAAGAAGAGAAAGAACGAGCTATTTAGC